CGTCAATCTCAATGTGCTTGTCTTCTCATTAAATATTGGATTTGACGCATAATGTCAGTCAATCTCAATGTGCTTAATTTTCTCATGAAATACTAAATTTGATGCATAATGTCAATAAAACACAGAGTGATAAAATTACAGTGTTGAACTTCCCAAACTAAACTTGCAAAGACTGTTTCAGACCATAGAGTGACTCACATAATCGACATACAAGGCACTAAATTCCCCCGAGCAACAAAGTGCTCAAAATCTAGTATAAAGTAAAGTATATATATCGTGTTGGAATCAATAGATGAGTCTATATTAAACAAGAAAGTCACCAAAAATTGGCCGAAACATGCTCATACGCCGGAGTATTAGATTTGATGGCTGAAAGTGGTCATAATCTAAGAAATAAAATTATATGGGTAGGGTCGGAATAATGGCACGACCCAACTAGAAAATAGAAATTATTTAGGAAAGGTCGGATTGATGGCACGACCCTATTGGAAAAGAGAAATAATATGGGTAGGGTCAGAGTGATGGCACAACCCTACAGAAATCAGATTTGAGGAGTCACCGGAAAGACGAATGGAACTATGCAAATCAAATAAATCAAATCTTAGGAGTCACTGAAAAGACACACGGTGCTATGCAACTTAGATGTGAGAAAGTAGTTCGGAAAAATCCACGATACTACACAAATTAAATATGAAAAGTAGTCCAGAGAGATGCACGGTGCTACACAAATCAAATATGCAAAAAAAGGTAGTCACCAGAAAGATGGAACGGTGCTACACAAATTAAATATGAAAAATTAGTCACCGAAAAGATGGCACAGTGCTACACAAATACCGACAGATATGGGGTGGACATAAAACAGTCCTAGAAAATCACCGGAAATTGACGCACGGTGACCTGTTTAACTGAGTTTTCTTCCCTTGAATATGTTCATGCATATATCATTGATCCTACTTTTGTTAACATAATCATTGGCCAGACGGACAACATATATGGGTAATAGCCACCCGTCGGCTGCGAAAGCTCTTTGATTCTCTACCAAGATCGTAGAGGCTCTGATACCATGTGAGAAATATAAGAGAAGAATATTATTGAATTGCTGTTGTGTGTACATTATTACATTGAGATCATATTTATAGACAGTAGAATACAAACCTTTACCTACTAATACTATTTACTATTCCTATTCTTATTCTAAATAGGATTGTATAAACCTATTTCTATTCTAATAGGATTGTATAAACCTATTCATGTTCTAACATTTATGATGAGACACCTACTTTAATCAAGAAGATGATTAAATTATCAATTTTCCATTGGTTAGAATGGACAACGTGTGTGACATGTTGAACTTTTGTCTAATGAATTGAAAATGTGAATTCAATGTTGATTAGGCCAAACACATGTGTTGTGAAAATTCCATATAATTCGTATGGTATTGAGAATAACTTGTACATTACTCAAAGAGAACAATGATATAAATACATGGAGAGAATAAGCCAACTATGGTAACGAAATATTCAAATCCCTAAAATCAACTATATTATCTATATTCATTATTATACAGATTCTGTAGCACTCCCCCTCAAGCTGGAACATAGATATTGATCATGCCCAGCTTGTTACAAAGGTAATCAACTCGAGTTCCATTCAACGCTTTTGTAAACAAATCAGTTAGTTGGTCTCTTGTCTTCACATAGCCAAAGGAAATCAAATTCTCCTGAATCTTCTCACGAATAAAACAACAATCAACTTCAATATGTTTAGTTCTTTCGCGATACACCGGATTTGAGGTAATATGAAGAGAAGCTTGATTATCACACTAGAGTTATGCTAGGGTATGATGTTTCAACCCAATTTCAGATAAAAGATGATGTATCCACATATAGACTGTAACATAGCTCTATATTCAGATTGTGCATTGGATCGAGATACAATACCTTAATTCTTACTCCTTTATGATACTAGGTTCCCTCCAACAAAAACACAATAGACTGTAGTAGATCTTCTATCAATTTTGGATCCAGCCTAGTCAGCATCTGCAAAACACTCCACACGAGTATGACCGTGATTGCTATACAATATGCCAAGTCCAGCATCTCCAAAACACTCCACACGAGTATGATCGTGATTGCTATACAATATGCCAAGTCTAGGAGCTCCTTTTAAGTAACATAGGATCTGTTCCAAAGCTTCCTAATGTTTGATCGTAGGTGCAGACACGAATTGGCTAACAACACTTATCGCAAAAGCAATATCTGGACGAGTCACAATAAGGTAGTTTAACTTCCCAACTAACCTTCTATATCTCTCGAGATCATCAAAAGAATCACCATCATCTTTCATAAAATGCACATTGGGAACCATTGGAGTACTACAGGGTTTGGCTGCTAACTTTCTGATATCTGCAAGCAGGTCAAGGATATACTTCTCTAAGACAGAAGAATTCTCTTCTTGCTTCTGTTTACTTCTACTCTCAAAAAGTATTTCGACGGACCCAAGTCATTTGTATGAAACCTAGTATGCAAGAAAGATTTGAGGGAAGAGATTCCCACATAATCACTTACTGTGATGACAATGTCATCAACATATACAACAAGGAGGATAGTGCCAGATGTTGGTTGTTGGTAAAAGAACGAGTGATTACATTTGCTCATTTTCATCCCAAAATTCTGAACTACCTTATTGAACTTTCCAAACCAAGCTCGAGGACTCTGCTTCAATCCATACAAGGACTTCTTCATATGACAGACTCCCCATACTCCCCCTGAGCAATAAAACCAGGTGGTTTTGCTCCATATACACATCTTCTCGAAGACCACCATGAAAGAATGCATTCTTAATATCTAACTTATGGCCCCCAAGCCTAGCTCAAGTGGCAAAAAATGGAGGATTTGTGGCTTAGGTCGCAGGTTCAAGCCCCACACCATGCAAAGCGAAGCCTGGTATTTAAGTGGAGAAGGGTAGAGGGGCGGGTCCATTATCCACCGAGTTTAGAAGACTGTGATTGGTCCAAAGGGCAGGTCACAGACGGATTTCTAGGTCATCGAAAAAAAATAAAAAAATATCTAACTTATGTAAAGGCCAATTCTCAGAAGCAACTAGAGAAATGAATAAGCGGACATAAATGACCTTGGCAACTGGGGAGAATGTGTGAATAATCTTCCCCATATGTTTGAGCATACCCTTCAGCTACAAGTCTAACTTTAAGTCTTGCTATAGTTCCATCTTAACTTTCACTATGAAGACCCAATTACATCCCACTAATTTCTTTCCCTTGGGTTAATCCACTAAATCCCACATGTGATTTTCTTCTAAGGCATGTATTTCGTCAAGCATTGCATCAGACCATCCAGAATGATTCAAGGCCTTTTGGGTATAGAAATAGAGTCTAGAGAAGTAATCAATCAAAGATCTAGACATAGAGGATAAGTGGCCATAGGAAACAAATTACTAATGGAATACCAGGATTTGAAACTATGTGTACCTTTGCGAAGAGCAATAGGGAGGTCAAGATCTTGTGGAGGATCAGATGAATGAGGATCTAATGACAAAGGAATTGGTGCAAGACATGTATCATCAACCCCTCGCCTCTTCGAGTAAACTTGAACAATTGGCGGTCTTGCCACATCAAATGGAGAAGGAGCTTCTGAAACAATAGTCGATTGGTCCTTAATAGAAAAATTGAGAGATGGAGGGACAACATCTGATTCTTTTGTCAAAACATGAGTGACCTGATAGACTAACCACTCATTTTTCTCTCCTTGACTTGTAGAAAAAGGAGGTGCATAGAAGAACGGGGTAGTCTCTGAAAATACCACATTAGTTGACACCAAATATTTGCTAAGTTTGGTAGAATAACATCAATACCCCTTTTGAAGGTGAGAATAGCCCAGAAAAACACACTTCAATGCTTTTGCATTCAACTTGGTAACAGATGGTCGAACATCTCGAACATAACATGTGCTTCCAAACACAATAGATTGCATGCACTTAATCAAAAAACAAGTTGGAGAGATCACATCTGCCCAAAGTTGTTTAGGAACCTTCATTTGGAATAAAAGAGCTCGAGCTGTCTCAAGTAAGTGCCTATTCTTCCTCTCAGCAACTCCATTTTGAGAAGGTGTATCGACGTATGAAGACTGATGGAGAATGCCTGTTGTCTCATATGAATTGTCACTCCTTAGAATACGTACCAAAGCATTGAATTGTATTTTGACTTCAACACAGAAGGCACAAAAGTGAGTAAACACTTTCGAGCAGATCTGCATAGAAGAAATCCAAGTCATCCACAAAAGTAACAACATACTTATGCCCAAATTTGGAAATGACAGGATATGGTCCCCAAATATTAGAATGAACTAACTCAAAAGCTGACCTGCTTATTAACCCTTGGACTTAATGAGTTGCGATGACGTTTTGCAAATCGACATGACTCACATTCTTTTTTTTTTGATAACCGAGAAATCCGTCTGTGACCCGCCCTTTGGACCAATCACAGCCTTCTAAACTCCGGAGATAATGGGCCCGCCCCACTACCCTTCTCCACTTAAATACCGGGCTTCGCTTTGCATGGTGTGGGGCTTGAACCTGTGACCTAAGCCACAAATCCTCCACCTTTTGCCATTTGAGCTAGGCCTTGGGGGTGACATGACTCATATTCTAATGAAGAAGTATTATGAAATTGAGGACATTACTTCTTTAATAGTGGTAGAGAAAGATGTCTCAACCGATAATGTGCTTCATATAGAGACACAACAGTAGAGCAGGCAACAAATCTAGGCTCCCATTCATCAAGGAAGTAGAGATTGTTAAATACATGTCCTTTACCAATAACCTGATTCGTCTTATGATCGCGAAACAAACAATGATTGGGAAAGAATGAAATATAACAATTAAAGTCTCCAGTAACTTAGTAACTTGGCTAACAAAAATAAATTAAAGGCCAACTTTGGTAGACTTAATACAAATGATAGAGTAATAGAAAAGATTAGTCTAACCGTCCCATATCCAACACTGTTGCAAGTTGATCCATCAGCTTTGGTAATCAGAGAGGGTGCTCTGTGTGCTTGAAAGCAAGAAAAATATTATGATTACCTGTCATGTGATTTGTGGCACCCGAATCAAAATCCCGTTTATTTGAAGAGGTGATAAGATATGTTTCATTTGATTCAACAAAGGAATTAACTTAAGTGGATCCTTCAAGAATTTATGGTATTGAGAGAATTTAATAAACTCCTCTGCCGAAATTAGGACCATTTTGTTAGATAATGGACTACAAGCACCAACAACTTTAGACCTTTGAATTCTCTAATTATAGTCGGTCATTTTCCCAACAAAAATACTTACTATACCAAAATGAATTGATGGACAACTTTAGACCTTTGAGTTCTCTAATTACAGTCGGTCATTTTCCCAACAAAAATACTTACTATACCAAAATGAATTGATGGAGAAACCAACTAGTCCAACCAGATTATATCTTAAAATTAGACAATACCCAAGATAGACAGTAACCTATTTTGGATCAATAATCAAAGTAACAGTTCTTCCCCACACCAATTCCACTCAAGGCTAGCTATCCAACAAATCAGAGACCCAAAAATAGCTCCTGAAAAATCAGAAAATCATCAAATAAATAGCCAAGTAGAAGTGTTGATTGAAGAGCAAAACTTGATGATGCTACAACAAAATCCCAATGCCAGTAAAAATTGTACGACATGAGTGAACTCGAAACATCAAATATTAGCAGAAATCCCTAGGAAAAAAATGTCAAAACACTACCAGGAGTTGCCCGACACAGAGAGACCACCCGATTATTGGTCAGAAACAAGCAAGTCTCCCAAATCGTAGTGGTCTGTTGAACAAACAACCACCAAATCTGATGCAGCATCACTACTGCAGTCTCACCGGAAAGGGTAATAGTGGAGCGTGACTCTCACACGAGTGACTTCCAGCTGCCGAGATCTAGGAGTTTAAGATGGTGGGAAGTAGCTAAGTGGGTGGTGACAGAGATTTTGGAAATCTCAATCACTTCCGGTGAAGCCACAGTGGATTCTGGCGAAGTCATAGTGACTTCTGGCAAAGAAAAAATACCAACTCAACATTGGCTCTGATACCATGTAATTCATAAGATATTGAGAATAATTTGTATATTACTCAAAGAGAACAATGATATTAATACATGGAGAGTATAAGCTAACTATGGTAACTAAATATTCAAATCCCTAAGAATCGGCTATATTATCTGTGAGAAATATATGGGAAAAATAATATTGAATTGTGTATCTAAATTGTTACATTGAGACCCTATTTATAGACAATACATTGAAATCCTTTTCTAATTAGGATTCCTATTTCTATTCTTCTTCATATTCTAAGTAGGAATATATATACATATTTCTATTCTAACACTCCCCCTCAAGCCGGTGCATACAAATCATATGTACCTAGCTTGTTACAAATGTAATTAATACGAGGACCTGTGAGGGACTTGGTGAAGATATCTGCAAGCTGATCATTTGACTTCACAAATTTCGTAACAATATCTCCTGAGAGTATCTTTTCTCTGACAAAGTGATAGTCAATCTTAATGTTCTTAGTGTTTTCATGAAATATTGGATTTGATGCGATATGAAGAGCCGCTTGATTATCACACACAAGTTCCATCTGATCAACTTTGCCAAATTTTAGTTCTCCCAGCAACTGTTTGATCCAAACTAGCTCACAAGTTGCTGTCGCCATTGCTCGATATTCTGATTCTGCACTAGATCGAGCAACCACACTTTGTTTCTTACTTTTCCACGACACCAAATTACCTCCTACTAAAACACAATATCCGGATGTCAAACGTCTATCAGAGGGTGATCTTGCCCAATCAGCGTCTGTATATCCAGTGATATGCTCATGGCCTCGATCCTCATGGAGTAGTCCTTTACCAGGAGCTGACTTTATATATCGCAGGATACGAACAACTGCATCCCAATGACTATTACAAGGCGAAGTCATAAACTGACTTACAACACTCACAGGAAAAGAGATGTCAGGTCTAGTTACTGTGAGATAATTCAATTTTCCAACGAGTCGTCTATACCTTTCAGGATTACTAAGTGGCTCCCCCTGTCCTAGAAGGATCCATAGGAGTGTCAATAGGTCTACATCCCATCATTCCCGTCTTCTCAAGAATGTCTAAGGCATACTTGCGTTGAGATATAACAATACCTGATCTAGACTGAGCAACCTCAATACCGAGAAAATACTTCAATCTGCCAAGGTCTTTAGCCAAGGTCTTTAGTTTGGAAGTGCTTAAAGAGATGCTGCTTCAATTTGGTGATACCATCTTGATCATTACCAGTAATAACAATATCATCAACGTACACAACCAAATAGATACATCGATTTGTTGCAGAATGTCGATAAAACACAGAGTGATCAGCTCCACTATGAGTCATGCCAAATTGTTGAATAACTGTGCTGAACTTCCCAAACCAAGCTCTAGGAGACTGCTTCAGACCATAAAGTGACCTACGCAATCGACATACAAGGCTACTAGACTCCCCCTGAGCAACAAAACCAGGTGGTTGCTCCATATAGACTTCCTCCTCAAGATCATCATGCAAAAAAGCATTCTTAATGTTCAACTGATGAAGAGACCAATGACGAATGACAACCATAGATAGAAAAAGACGAACATATGCTATTTTAGCCACAGGGGCAAAAGTGTCACTATAATCTAGCCCAAATATCTGAGTATACCCTTTGCCAACAAGGCGAGCCTTGAGCCGATCAACCTGACCGTCTAGATCAATTTTGACTGCATAAACCCAACGACAACCAACGGTAGATTTACCTGCAGGAAGAGAGACAAGCTCCCAAGTACCACTCTTATGCAAAACAGACATCTCATCAACCATAGCCTGCCTCCATCCAGAATGAGAAAGTGCTTCACCTGTAGTCTTAGAAATGGAGATAGAGGACAAAGACGATACAGAGGCATAATTGGGTGATGATAGACGATGATAACTGAAAGTTTAGATACTGCAAAAGTATATTTTATTCATAGTGTTTGTACAATATTTATAAGAGAACAAGTAAAGACCAATTAAACTAATCAATCCCTAATTCTTAGGAAATCCTTGAATCAAGGGATTTCCTCTAAACTATTTTCCTAGAATAATATATTCTAATCCCATATTCACATGAGCAGATTCTCATCAAATCTGCCAGCTTTATTTGTGGAGCAGATTCTAATCAAATCTGCCAGCTTTATTTGTGGAGCAGATTCTAATCAAATCTGCCAGCTTTATTTGTGGAGCAGATTCTAATCAAATCTGCCAGCTTTATTTGTGGAGCAGATTCTAATCAAATCTGCCAGCTTTATTTGTGGAGCAGATTCTAATCAAATCTGCCAGCTTTATTTGTGGAGCAGATTCTAATCAAATCTGCCAGCTTTATTTGTGGAGCAGATTCTAATCAAATCTGCCAGCTTTATTTGTGGAGCAGATTCTAATCAAATCTGCCAGCTTTATTTGTGGAGCAGATTCTAATCAAATCTGCCAGCTCAATGGTGGAGCAGATTATGACTAAATCTGCCTACTCATTCAACACTCCCCCTCAAGTTGGCATGTAAATATCAAACATGCCTAACTTGCTCACAAAGGACTCAAAAGTAGTTCTGAAAAGACCTTTTGTGAAAATATCTGCAACTTGTTCTGTTGTTGGCACAAAAGGAATGCACACACTTCCATCTTCAATCTTCTCTTCAATGAAGTGTCTGTCCACTTCAACATGCTTTGTTCTATTATGTTGAACTGGATTATGAGCAATGCTTATGGCAGCCTTATTGTCACAATACAACTTCATTGGAAAACTCACAGGTCTTCTTAGTTCTTCCAAAAATCTCTTGAGCCACAATATTTCACAAATTCCGTGTGCCATGGATCGATACTCAGCCTCAGCACTACTTCGAGCCACCACATTTTGCTTCTTACTTCTCCATGTCACCAAATTTCCCAAACAAATGTACAATATCCAGATGTAGACCTCCTATCAATAGATGAACCAGCCCAATCTGCATCCGTATAAGCCTCAAGACTTCTTTGCTCATTCTTCTTGAAGAACAACCCTTTCCCAGGTGAACTTTTTAGATACCTTAGGATTAGATACACAACTTCTTGGTGTTCTTCTCGTGGAGAATGCATGAACTGACTGACTAGGCTCACAACAAAGGAAATATCAGGTCTAGTATGTGACAAGTAAATCAACTTGCCTACCAATCTCTGATATTGGCCCTTATAAATCAATTTTCCTTCCTTTACAAATTTCAGATTTGGATCAATTGGAGTTTCAATTGGTCTACAACCACTCATTCCTGTTTCTTTTAACAGATCAAGAACATACTTCCTTTGTGACACTATAATTCCTTTCTTCGATCGTGCAACCTCCATGCCAAGAAAGTACTTTAGCGGGCCTAAGTCCTTTATCTCAAATTCTAAGGCAAGGCGTTCCCTTAGATTTTTTATCTCAACCACATCATCTCCTGTGAGGATAATATCGTCAACATACACTATAAGAACGGTTGTTTTCCTTCCAGTGAATGTCGAGTAAACATTGTGTGATCTGCTTGTCCCTGCACATACCCTTGCTTTTTCACAAATTGAGTAAACCTTTCGAACCAAGCCCTTGGAGATTGTTTTAGACCATAAAGAGATCTTCTAAGCCTACATATCTTTGACTTGTACTTCCCATCAAAACCTGGTGGGGGATCCATATAGACTTCTTCCTCTAGGTGCCCGTTCAAGAAAACATTCTTCATATCCAATTGCTAAAGAGACCAGTCGAGATTTACTGCGATTGTCAACAGAACTCTAATTGAGTTTAGCTTAGCTACTGGAGCAAACGTCTCGAGATAGTCAATAGCATATGTCTGCGTGAATCCCTTAGCTACTAGGCGGGCCTTATACCTTTCCAAGGATCCGTCTGATTTGAGTTTGGTGGTGAACACCCATTTACAACCCACTGGTTTCTTTCCCTCGGGTAAATCCACTAACTCCCATGTCTCATTTGTTTCAAGAGCTCGCAATTCCTCCAAAATAGCCTCCTTCCACTCGGGAACTTGTAGAGCATCATGCACATTTGTTGGAATCTCCACACTAGAGAGTTGTGAAGTAAAGGCTGAATAACTAGGAGACAACTTTTTGTAGGACACAAACATAGACATAGGATATTTAGAAGTAAATCTAACACCTTTGCGTTTCGCAATAGGTAGATCTAGATCTAAGGAATTAGAAATAGAATTAGTTGGAAGAGTACCTTGAATTACAGTGAGGTCTGGTGGGACTGATTTTTGGCAGTGTTGAGAATCTTCGGTCTTTTTTTCTTGAGTTCAGTTCCTTCTCGAATACACCTGCATTTCTGTTTTTTGTTCTCTATTCCCATTTTATTTTTGTCATTTGAAGGCGCTACAGGTTCAAGTTCAATTTCTGAGTTTTTATCATTTAAGTCACTTTGGTCCTTATCATCTCTTGGATCACACTTATTCATATCTTCTCCTACATCTCTCACATCAGTATTTATTGTAATATCAGGCTCTTCATTTGCTTGATATCTAGTTTCCTCAATATCACAAAAAAAAGAATCTTCATCTACATGATACTCCCCCTGAAGATGAGTAGTAAAACAGAGTTGCGACTCAAAGAAAGTTAGGTCCATTGTAACAATTGTCTTCCTAGCATGTGGATCATAACACTTATATCCCTTTTGACTTGGGGCATATCCTACAAAAATACACTTCTTAGCCTGCGGTTCAAGTTTACTACGATTATGGACATGAACAAATGTTGTACAACCAAAAACCCTCAGAGGCAGATCTGTAGTTAACCTAGAACTAGGAAAACTTTCTTTGAAAACTTTAAAAGGTGTCTTAAATTCAAGAGGGTGAGATGGCATCCTATTAATAAGGTAAGTGGCAGTCAAGAGAGCCTCTCCCCAAAGGTGTTGTGGAACTTTACTAGTAAACATTAAAGCTCTCGTTACCTCTAAAAGGTGTCTATTCTTTCTTTCGGCGATACCATTTTGTTGAGGTGTATCTGGACAAGAGCTTTGGTGTACTACCCCAGTTTTTCTAAAAAACTTCCCAATTGTTCATTAAAAAATTCACGGCCATTTTCACTCCGAAAAATCTTGATTTTCTCATTGAACTGTGTTTCCACCATGACATAGAAAGTCTCAAACACATTTTTAACCTCAGATTTGTCCTTCAATAAAAAAACCCAACTCAATCTAGTATGATCGTCAATAAAATATACAAACCACCGTTTCCCAAACATTGTTGAGATTCTAGACGGACCCCAAACATCACTATGAATCATTGTAAAAGGTTTTGAAGCCTGATATCTTTGAGAAGGAAAAGAAGATCGGTGATGCTTAGCCATTTCACAAAATTCACATTGGAATAAGTATGGATTTTTATTTCTAAATAACTGAGGTAACAAATGTCTTAAATAATAAAAACTTGGATTTCCAAGCCTATAGTGCCAAAGCATGACTTTATTCAAAACAAAAGTAGAGTTCAAACAAATAGGATTCAGTTGTAGTGAGTTGTTCCTGTTGTCAAGAAAATAAAGACCTCCTGATTCTCTAGCACTGCCAATCATCTTCCCCGAGACCTTTTCCTGAAATTCACACAAATCGGAATCAAAAATAGCACGACAATTAAGAGAACGGGTTAATTTACTGACAGAAACTAGATTACAAGAGAGCTTTGGAACATGAAGAGTATCATGAAGTATAAGAGATGGTGATAGCTTAATAGTTCCTTTTCCAGCAATTGCAGAGAAGGAACCATCAGCTATCTTGATTTTATTGTTCCCTGCACAAGGAGTGTATGTAGAGAAAAAACGGGAACTTCCAGTCATGTGGTCACTAGCTCCTGAATCTATGATCCAAGAATCTATTTGATTGGAATTGGTACTAAGAAAAGCAGACGATACAGTACCTATTTGAGCAAAAGAACAGGAAGGATTAGAAGAATTTTGTGCATTTGCACGAAATTGTGGAGATTGAAGGAGTTTGTGCAGAATTTCCAATTGTTCCCTTGTAAATGGAGATGTTTCTGGAGAAGGTTGCTGCCCCTGATCAAAATAAGTTGTTTGGAGGGCCTGACCATTTTGAGATTGAAAGCCACAATCATCAACTCCCTTTTTCTTCCAGTTTAGTGGTTTCCATGAATCTTCCAACATGTTTCACGGGTGTGCCAATATTTTTTGCAATGATCACACCATGGCCTTTTGTTTTTGTCCTCTCCATTCTTCACTCTTATAAGAGCTGAAGAGTCTATAACAGGTTTTAGTTCAACATTTAAATCAGGTTTTAACATAACTTTCCTCCTAGTTTCCTCTCTCCTAACTTCAGAAAATGTTTCACGAAGTGAGGGCAGAGGATTTTTTCCTAGGATTCGTGACCTGACCTTGTCAAACTCTCGGTTTAATCCTGCTAAAAAAAGGTAAACTCTCTCATTTTCTTCCTTTTTTTTCTCTTTCACACTATCCACAGAACACTCTCATTCATCATTGTAACACTGGTCTAACTCCACAAGGACACCATTTCATTATAATAAGTAGTGACTTCATTCTCACCCTGCTTAGCTTGCCATAGTTTAATTTTTAACTCAAAAATTTGAGAGGCATTTTCTACATCTGAATATGTCTC